ACCGCTATTGGTGGTAGTCATTTTGGGAGTGGTACTGGGAAGCCCCAATGAGGACCACAATGTCGTCAATCAAAAACATCGCAGCTATTTAATGGACAATTTAGATGACATCTTCAGCCCCTGCACACAATTCTATCCCCATGTCTGCTCCCAGTGGATCGCCAATCACACCGAGCACATGGCCAATTATACCTCCATAACGGGCATGATCAATTTTGAAGCCATCCAGGAGCTAAGGGAATATTTGGAAACTACTACAATGACCAATGAACCGGACTATGTTAAACTGGTGCAAGATTTCTATGTGTCCTGTCGGGATAATAAGGAATTTCAGCATTTGAAATTTATGCAATGGATGGAAAGGGAGGAAAATATGAAGTGGGCCCTGCTCACACCAATGGATGCTAAAGGTGCTGTCTTCGATTGGCCATCCACCCTGGCTATTTTCCGTAAATATGGTTTCAATGATCTCCTGGTCGAGCAATAGAATAACTCCAAAAATGTTTTTGGTTATGTCAGTGTCTATAACATGCAGTATTTAAATAGCAGCATAACCCTGCCCCCGGGCACCATGGACTTTGTGGATCTATGGAAGATGATCGATGAGTTTGAAAATAAATTCGGTGAAATCGAAATGCCAGAGCCTCGGGAGGGGAAAATCTACAAATTAAAGGAATTACCCTATGACTGGTTTAGGAAATATCTAATGGCTCTCAGGAGATCTCAGCAGGGTCAGGATCTAAGCAATGTGGAGTTGGCCATAGATAATGTTGGCTGTTTGGAGGCTTTGGATCAGCTATTGAAGGAGTATGATGATGCCTTCATTTGTCGTTATTTGGAAGTACGCTTCCTAATCTATTTGGAAAAGTCGCAAAAATGGGCCAAACCCACAGAATGTATGAGTCAGACCAGAAGTTTTCTCACCTTGGCCACGGAATGGATCTACAGGGAGTTGCATCCAGAGCTAGTGGCAGAAGTACCGAAAATACACCAGATGTTTGAGAATATTATCAGAAATGTCAACAAAACCCTGGAAATGTTGAACAAGGATAAAATCATACCCCAAGAATTCCTAACCAGGCTGCAGACAATGAAGATACAAGTGGGCAATTTACCCGCGGAAAACATTGAAAAATCCCTGGAAGAAAATTATAAAAATTTGAAATTGAATCCCCACGATTATTATGGTAATTATTTGAAAATGCTGCGATTCTATTATAACCTGGAACTCGCCGGCAGCAACCCGACCAATTTTGAGTTATTCTTTAAAACTCCCACCTACATGATGCCCATGTGGGAAATAAGTCCCAAATATGTCATGAACACGAATCTCTTGCTCTTGCCGTATGGTCTATTGAGGCCACCATTTTACCATGTGGCCTATGAGGATATTTTCAAACAGAGCTCCCTGGGTAGTCTTATGGCCTTGCGCGTATTCGATCCCCTCTATACGATGGGCGAAGAGGTTAATGCTACCGCTATTCAGTTATTAGCCGATCTAACTGCTTTGCATTCGACATTTGAAATATTTTTCTCGTCTCTGCCATTGGAGAAAATGACAACCTCAGTGCAAGAACTTAAACAAATGTTTTTCGTCAATGCCGTGAATTATCGCTGTGAATTATCCTACAGCTATGCTGAGCGTGTCAATATGATGTTAATTAATGTGTCGGATTTTAATGAATCATTCGATTGTAAATTGAATAAAATGTTTAAGAAGCTGTAAAAAAAAACACAAAAAAAAAATAAAATTAAAAAAACGAGAGATTATAAAACGAGAAAAATTAATTTCAATTCTCACTATGAGTTCCTTTTCCAAAGAAAACTCAGGAATGTTTTCTATTTAGGGGTGTATTTTAGTAAGTTGTTCCATGGAGCTGAGGCTTTCTAGGGATAGTGACTTTAAAAGTCTTTTTCATTAAAATATTTTTATATTTCGTTATGCCAAGAAAAAGTCGTTTAGATAAAGAAGAAGGTATACCAAAATGGATGCTAATTATTTTATGGTATATATTAAATAAACAAATTTCTTTTGTTCAGAGACTCATAATGAAATTTGATCAAGAACAGTTCTTCCTTTGACACTTTCCCCAAAATATGAAGTGTTATGGCAAATGTTGACTCAGACTAGAAACGTTTAATTTTAAACAGACAAAAACGCAGAAATATATTTTCCACTTTTAATATGTACATTTTGAAAGCAATTTTCTTTAAAACTATAATACCTAGACATATAGTTTATTCTGAGACTTTTAGTGAAATTTTGTGTAGAATATTTAATCCATTGACACTTTTTCTCTAAAATAAAGTGTTAGGTTGCTTCCATGCATCAAGTCGAAAAAAGACAAAAAAAAAATCCTATTAAAATAAAATAAACATTTTTTTATAAATTTAAAATGAATGATATTATTTTATGATATATATTAACTTTAGAAACTTTTTTTGTTTGGAGACTCCTAATGAAATTTGATCTAGAATATTTCATCCTTTGACACTTTTCCCAAAAAATTAAGTATTAGGGCAAATTTTGACTCAGAGTAGAAACGTATAAAATTTACTGTCGTTAAACGTTAACACATAATTTCTACGTTTAATTTAAATATTTTGAATGTAATTTTTTTAACTAACTATTATACCCAGACATATAGTTTATTCTGAGACTTTTAGTGAAATTTTGTGTAGAATATTTAATCCATTGACACTTTTTCTCTAAAATAAAGTTTTAGGTTGTTTCCATGCATCAAATCGAAAAAAGACCGAAAAAATACCATTAAAATAAAAAAAAAAAAACTTTTTTTTTATAAATTTAAAATTAATGATATTATTTTATGATATATATTACGTTTCGACATTTATTTTACTCAGAGACTCATAATGAAATTTCATCTGGAATATTTCATCCTTTGACACTTTTCCCAAAAAATGAAGTATTAGGGCTAATTTTGACTCAGAGTAGGAACGTATAAAATTTACAGTCGAAAACGTTAACACATAATTTCTACGTTTAATTTATATATTTTGAATGTCATTTTTTAACTAACTACAGGGTGAGATAAAAAAAACTGTAACAAAGACAACCGCCATCATTTTTACAATATTTTTACAATATTTATTGTCGGAAGTAAAAAATGTGGAAAGTGGCCTCAAATTTTATAATAAGTTTAGATTTGTTCGAATTGATCACCATTGGCACGAATTATGGCCTTCAAACGGCCAATGAAACCGTCACACGCTGCCCAAATGTTGCTCTGCGCTATTTTGGCTCATTCCCGGCGAAGCGCTTGCTTCAGGTGATCGACACTTTGGTATTTTTTGTGCCAACCTTGCCTTCCAAAATACTCCAGCGCACAATAGTCCAACGGATTGGTATCCGGAGATTTTGGTGGCAATTGTGCGCTGGAAATGAAGCTAGGAACCTCATTTTGTAACCATTCTTGGGTGGCGCGTGCTGAGTGCGATGGTGCTGAATCCTGTTGGAATGTCCAAGGTCTGCGACCAAAATGTTTGCGTGCCCAAGGCCTTAATACACCCTTCAGAATATTTTAATATTCGACATTTATTCAGATGCCACAGTCGATTAATACGAGAGGAGAGCGACCATCGGCTGTTATGGCGTTATGGCCCACACCATTACCATGGCCGGCGCTTGAGTTCTGGTGACCATCCGAAGGGGCACATTTTCAACTGACCTCTTTGGCATGTAAACACGATCATTTTTTTTTTGTTTACAAACTGCTGGACAACGAATGTTGTCTCATCGGAACGGAGAAAACCAAATTCGGCAGTTCACCACTTTCGGCCAAGCGATGCAACTCTTTAGCTCTTTTGAGTCTATTTTTTTCCTATTGCGGTGTAAGTTCTTGCACTTTTTGGAAATTCAAGTGCTTGATCCCAGGCTAATTTTTTCAATATTTGTCGAATGGAATATTGCGGTGCGATATATTCAGCTCATGAGCCATTTCAGCTTGTCGGCCACTGCGATGCGGGCTTCGATCAAGTTGCTTCTTGACTTTTCGAACCATTTTTTCGTTTTCTTCCGTCCACTTCCTTGACGTCGGGCTTCGCTACCAGTATCACGGTAAAGAGCAATGGTACGAGACACAAAAGATTTATTCACATTTAAATGCTGGAGTGCCCTAACGTTAGCCACTTGTGGTTTTCCAGCCGAATATAAAGAAATTAAACTATCACGCTTGAATTCCATCACGAATAACTTTTTTTCTGGAAAACTCTCACCAAAATGTTTTTGTACGCTTGTTAACAATATAATGAGCTGTCACTGGAATAATTTTAACAGCTGTCGGACGAGTGGCTTAGAAATGACAGCAGTCTGAAGTTGGTTGCATTTTTTTCATCTCACCCTGCATAGTCAAATTTGATGAAGAATATTTTTGTCTTTGACGTCAATCCTTCTAAAAACCATGATTTGTTGTAGATTTTTTCACTAACTCACATAAAGTATGGCTTTAACCCTATATGTATAGGAATTCCTGACATTTGGGTAAGATTTCGATCCTTGACGTCTTCTAGGACCTATGGTAGAATTTTATGAAAAATAATTCTGTGGAATATTTTTACTTGCTGCGATCCCATTTAAAGGAAATTTTTACCTTTCTTTAAAAAAATGACCAAAAGGACACCTTATTGACTCGCTCGAGGGTTAAAAATATTTACAGCGAATATTTCGCTATTTTCGCTATTATTTCGTATTTTTATCTGCAATATTTCCGAAGACTATAAACCTAAAATAAACGGATTCTCAGGTAATTTTTTTCCAAAAAAAATTCAAAAGTATTGGAGAGGGGGGAACTTAACTTTCCTATAGCTACTAACAAAGCACCATTTTATATACAAAACTCCTTATTTTGGCCTTATAGAGGACCTTTTCCTGTGGTTGGAAATATGTTAATGTGACCCTGTTCATAAACGATTCCCATATAGATTTCCCGTGGATGGAATCATATTCTCTTCCATAAATAAAATGCAAATCGAACACTTACCTCCCTCCATTGAGAGACTGGTTTCCAACAAAGCCGAGTCATAGTGGCTGAAGGGCACCCAAACTTGTTTGGCATCAAGGGTACGCTTGTAGAACCAATGTTTGACAGCTGGCTTGTAGGACTGAAAAAAATATATATTTAAAAAAAATAGTTTCTTAAATGAAATATCTGGAAACCTCATTCACTTACCGTCCCCGCCACAGGTGTGGGAGGCTTGTCACTTTGCAATAAATTGGCCATTCTTAGCTCTTTGAGAATTTCCTCGGGTAATTCCTCGTAATGTTTGTTGGCTGAAGCGTCAGCTGTTGTTGTTGTCGACGATGTCGATGTGGTAGTTGGTGGCGGTGGCACCACTTCCAACTGGGAATTTTTATTATCCTCTCGTACAATTGAGGTCTCCGATGCGTTAAGTGTGGAAAATTCCGAACACGCCGATGAGGGTGGTTCAACCAAATTGGAAATGGGCGTCAGCAATGAGCGCTGCTGTAGATTACGTATGGCCAAACCACTGTGTACCAGATCGTAATTTAAATCACCTGCGTGATCGGCGTCTTTGGGTGGGGGATTGTTGAAGAAGTTTTGAATGCGCTGTTCTTCGTTGGCCAAAGCTTGGTTGGCTGTTGTCGTCGAGGTATTGAAAGTCTGCTGCTGTTCTTGTCCACCAAAGTTGTCAAAGAATGAAGAACACGTGTTGTCTAGTGGTACACTAACGGAACTAGCTACAGATTGATTGAAAAAGTTACTAAAGTTGTTGTTGGTGTTGTTGCCGGCTGAGGGCTCTGTCGTCTGTTGTTGTGCTGCCGGTGTGGCGTTTGGATTTTCAAAACCTGTTGGTGGTGCAATCTGTGATGTGGTTTGTTGCTGATTTGTATCAAAGAAATTGGGTGTTGAGGTACCCTGCTGACTATGGCCAGACGCCGTTGGGTTAAAACTTTCAAAACCAATGGGTCCTGAGGGAGCGGGACACGTTTCCTGTTTATTTTCCTCCTTGAGAGCTTCACAAGCAATGGGTAACACACCGGCTTGGTGTGTGGGTAATGCTGGAAAAGCTGGACCAGAGGTGTTTTCCGGGGGATATGGTGTTGAGGGTTCCTGGGAACTCTGAACTTCTTCCTCCAAGGGGGCTGAGGGTTCCTTTAATTCACTTTCTGTGCTAACAGGTGCAGTGCTCGAAGCTGGCGTTCCAAAGAAGTGACCTGCTTGATTTGAAGCGTCTGGAACAACTTGTTGCTGTTGTTCTGGGTTTCCAAAGAAGTGACCTGCTTGGTTTGAAGCTTCTGGAGCAACTTGTTGTTGTTGCTGCTGTTCTGGCGTTTGTCCACCAAAGAAATTAGCTCCGGCGTTGCTGTTGTCCACCTGGCTGGGTAGGGATGCAAAGAAATTGAAATCACCACTTCCGGCAGCAACGGCGCTGGTTGGAGTAAAGAAATTGGCCAAACTTGGAGCTACCTTTGCACCTGGTCTATTGGCCTCCGAAGCGTTGGAACCTCTGCGATAGGGATTATTGGTGCCAGGTCCCAACTGAGTAGGAGGAGGAGGGACAACAGGTGGTGCTGCAACGTTGCTTGGCTCTAAATTTAGATTTTGTAGTGTCTTTTCCAAGGAATCGGAAGGTTTGGTAGTTTCTATCTGAGAACTCTCTTTAACCGGTCCAATGGGGTTAAAGAAATTCTGAGAGCTTTCGGAGTTGGAGGCAAAAAAGTTTTCCTTTTGATGTGATTTTTCTTGATCCGCTTCAGAGGGTCCCACTGAGGAGTTCTCACTATGTTCTTGAAGCTCCGAAGCTGTTTCAATATGCTCCTGGGTTTCCGCGGCCGGTTCAATTGGCTTGAAGAAATAATTGGGATTTACAGACTCTTGTTGTTGTTCCTGGGGTTTAACTTCTTCAGAAATGACCTCCTGGGTGGGAACTTGAGAGGGCGTAGGTACAACTCCTGGATTTTCCGATTTTTCCAAAGCCTCGGATGCAACTTCTTGGTTAGCTGGAACAATCAATGCAGGCTCTGCTTGTTGATGACTGTCTTGCTTGGCCGTTGGTACTTCAGCGCTGCTTGGAGCAAACAAGGGGACACTTTTGGCCTCGGAACTAGGTGTAAATACGTTTGGAATTGAAGTTAGGCCTGGACCTGGAAAACCTGGATTGTAGGCTGGATAAAACTGTTGACCTTGTGGTGGCAACGCCTGGGGTCCGGCTGGAAATCCAGAACTGGTTGTTGGTGGTGGTACACCAAATACTGGATTAGGCAATACCTGGACCGGGGCAGTCTCTTGGGCTGTTAATGGATTTTTATAGAGCTTTGTGCCTTTTTGAAGGCGGAACGAGGTGGAGCCGGTGGGAGGAGGTGGTAATGCTGTAGAACCTCCAGCGCCTGACGCTGGTGGTGGTTGAGCAACCGTGCCTGCTTGTGAGGGATCAAAGAACGCCACAGGCTTTGTAGGAAGGCCAGTTGTGGCTTGCAAAGGATTGAAGAAATTTGCAGCTGGTGGAGCTCCCGTTCCAGGTTGTTGTAGTGGTTGACTAACTGCTCCCTGGAGGGGATTAAAGAATGTAACTGCTGGTTGTTCGGCAGCAGCAGTTGGTTGTGTTGCCGATGGAGGTCTCAGGGGTTGATGTAGGCCTGCCTGATTTGAGGGGGGTAGATTTGGTGGCTGATTGACTGCCTGCGGAACCTGCAAAGGATTAAAGAATTGAACTGCAGGCTGAGGCGAGGGTTGTCCGACCTGCTCTGTTGTGGACGGTACTTGGCTAGGTGGCAAGCCTGTCTGAGCTGCTCCAAATGCAGCCTGCAAAGGATTGAAAAATTGTACGGGCCCTGGAGCAATGGCTGGTTGGGAAACGTGCTCGGTTGTGCAAGCTGGCACTTGTAATGCTGATTTATCGCTTTGGTTCGAAGCGGATGCTGGTCTCAATGGCTGCTCTTGAACTCCAGTAGAGGGATTAAAGAATTGAACTGGAGTTGGATTGGAAGAAGATCCCGGCTGAGTAGGTTGCTGAGAGGGTTGTTCAGAAGTTGGTGGAACTTGTGATGACGAGGGGCTGGTGGTGGCAGCGGTGTGATTTGATGCTGGTCTTGGTGGTTGCAGAGCTTCGGAGGAAACTGAAGCTGGTGCCAATAAAGGATTGAAAATTTGCACAGGTGGCTGCTGAGTTGTAGATTGTCCACCTGGAAGAGGTTGGCTAGCTGATTCAGATGACCTTTCCGCTGGATTGAAAAACTGTTGTGGTGGCTCCGAAGCCACTTGACTGCTGGTAGAAGTTGGTCTCAATTGTTGCTGGTCGCCAACTCCAGCTTCAGGAACTGCTTCACTGAAGGTATTATACGGCCGTGACGAAGGTCTGGGCGGCCGAGGTGGTTCAGTTGCCGCTGGTTTTTGTTGGAACGGATCAAATGTGGTTGGTGGAGCTGCTGAGGGATTGAAAAAGTTAACTCCGGCCTGAGAAGGATCAGATGCAGGAGCGGCTTGTAGAGGATTGAAAAATGTCACAGCAGAGGGAGCAGGGGCTGGCACAGATTGTGGTGGTTGTTGTCCAGCCTGAGAAGTAGTTCCTGGCTGAGATGGAGGTCTGCTCTGCGTTGGCTGAGGTGTTGTGGAGGTAGAGCTAGCCGCGGGCGGCTGCTTGAATGGATCGAAAATAGCGGGAGAAGGAGCTGTAGTGGTATTGAAAACTCCACTTGCTGGAACGTTTCCTGTCTGGTGATTAAAAAATCCCACCGCTTGGGCTGGAGCAGGCGCAGTAGTAATTGATTGATTGGTTTCCCCGATTGCTGGCGGTGGGGGTGTATAATTGGCCTGGGGTTCTCCGGAATAGTTGGGCGCCGCGAAATAATTTGTGGCCGGTGGTGGTGGTAGAGGATAGCCTACTCCAAATTGTTGTTGTTGTTGTTGATCAAATTGTATGCCAAAATTTCCTCCTTGAGGTGGTGTAGCATAGGAGGAGGAGGCGTTGTAATTTCCTGTGTTCTGGCTGCCACTAGCAGGATTTATGGTCTGGGTAATGGTGCCCGCAGCCGATTGCACTAGTCCAGTAATATTTTGCAATACCCCACTGGGAGCAAGTTGGGTTATTTTCGAGAAGAGACCACCTCCTGATTTACGTTCTTCCGATTTACGCTCTTCCGAGGAGGGAGTATAGGGGGATGGTTGGCTATAGGGGTCGCTGGCTGAATATGGCAAGGGAGGAGGAATTGCCGTCCCCGTCAAGGGTGTTGCTGTGACAGCGGGCGGAAAAACTGCTGCTTGAGCCGATTGCTGTTCCGAGAGCCCTGGTATGGGAGCGTAAAGTTTTTTCTTGGCTGTAAAACGGAAATTATTCTGTCCTCCACCGGTGGAGGGTGGTGGTACAGCGGCGGCTGTTGGTGGAGCGCTGGGTACTTCGGCGGGCGTATAAAATTTAGGGGGTTCAGCTGGTGGAATATTGCTCGCCTCTAGATTTGTGTTTGGGAGGAGGTTGCTCTCAAAATAGCCTCCACTCGATGGCGGAAGAGGAGGAGCATAAAATGGTTGGTTGGCCGGGGGAACTGATGACTGGCCTGGCGGTGGTGCCAATGGTTGACCTGGTGTTGTATATTGATATTGTTGTTGTTGTTGTGGAAATTGCTGTTGATGTTGTTGTTGCTGTGTATAGTTCGGTTGTATATCTAATTGTGGCACATTGGAGTTATTCCCATTGGAATCTGCAGAATTGGTATCGTAACCTGGTGTTGTTTCCCGACTCGATATACCTGTTATACGTTTCGAAAACGACGAAAAGACATTCGAGGCCACCGATGGCAGGGCAGAAAATGATGAAGCCGCTTGACTTAGTATTGAATCGCTGGTCGAGGATTGTTGCTGTTCCCACAGCAGATTTGCATTGGCATCCGAAGAGGTGGTCGTCGTCTCTTCAGTGGCGGAGGCATTCAAATTGATTTCATCAAGATTTTCCGTATCCAATGACGATGAGCCGACCGTAACCAGAGACTTGGGTTCTGTGGAAAAGAAATGGAGGAAAAATAGGT